ACCTAAGGGCAATTTAGAGTTACCAATTAACCTAACAGGCATGTCTTTGGACTGTGGGAGGAAGCCAGAGTACCCGGTGAGAACCCACGCATGCACAGGGAGAACATGCAAACTCCGTGCAGAAAGACTCCAGGCTGGGAATTGAACCCAGGACCTTGTGGCTGCAAGGCAACAGTGCTACCAACTGCACCACCGTGCAGCCCAATATCTAAACCATCCCTTTAAAATCATAGATTCCTAATCTTTTGTCAAAGTCAAGGTTTGACATCCAACTTGTCTTGGCATTGGGTTCAGAGTCAATTTATCACAAAGGACTTTATGATTATGAGTCTATTAAGCTTGAGCAAGGATTAACCCACATTTCTGATTTACAGGGAATAAACTCATAGAGGAGTGGAATAAAACCTATTCTTGATTATATGATCTCCATAAAACCCATCCATTTATAACCCAGCAGGCCACTGTAAAGTTGTAACTCAAGGTACAAATCTGGGTTTTTAAGTTTCCTCCTAAGCCCACAAAAGTATTGTTGGCTGCTTTTCACAGTGCCTCAAGCAAACTTTTTAGATTTACTTCTGCTTCTTTTAAAATAGGGAAGCAACTTAAGTTAAGTCAAGTACACCATGTACAGTTAATGCTGGTGCTTATAACTTTCTACTTTTACACATGTTTTGTTGTTTTTTTTTTAGCCTACCTGTATGTGATCATTGACCCATCATCCTGTACGGTAAAAGCAAAACGCAGCAGTGAGCCTTCAGCAAAGTGATACGTTATCATTAACATGTCAAAATATTTCCTGAGGCCTTGCTTTAAGACACATTTAATGCGTTAAAAAAACATGTTACTGGGAGTGGGCGGTTGTCACGAATTCCTCCAAGGCTACCTTTAGTGCCAAAGAGACCCACTAGTGAAAGTAACGTTTGAGAGAGGAAGAGTGGATTATCAGGAAAGGAGAAGTAGCGAAGAAAGTCAGGAAGGCAGGGGGAGTTAGGGGATTTTTGCTCTGCCTTATCCCTCACAAACTACTCTCCCCCTCCTCTGTCTTCTTCCTTCTTCCACCTCCTCCTCTGTCTGCTCTCTGTTGTGTTTGCGTCACAGAAGTGGAGCTGGAGGACAGCACAGGAGGAGGAGTGGACTGAAAGCCTGTAGCTGAGGAATGTGGCTAAGTAAGAGAACATGGCTATAAAAGGATTGCACTTCCCCTAGGTTGCTGTGATGTCACAACACAAACATTTCCTCCTTCCTTCTCCAGTTCTCAGTTATTGACATTGCCACCTGTTATCCCCAATTTCCCACATGCAGTCCCTCTCCCTTTCTTGCTAAATAGGTCAGGATTTATTATAAGGGAAAAAAGTTTTGTTGTTTGCTAAATTACATTTGCAGAATACGGTCTATGTATTGTGTCCACGTCATTTGACATAGTGCTTAAAGTGTCATGCCTTTCATCAGGGGTTCTGAAGTTTATAGGCTTCAACATAACGTGGACCTTTGGTATGGCTGTTATCATTGACGTATCTGCAATATACACGACAGCATCATATAAGTGGTGCAAAAGTGGGGCAAAACCGTGCTCTGCAAATCTCAAAGTAGGTTAGTCTTTGTATTTATTTATGTTTACATATGAGTTGTGAAAAAATGTCTAAAACAATTTCCTAGACTTTCCCAGAGTTTCTTGCAATGTTTGAAGTGGTCCTGATGAAAGACCTGGACTTTGGCAACTTTTTTCACTCGTTTTATGAATATTTTCATCACAATTCAACCATATCAACCATTCAGACAAAAAAAGGCCCTTTACAATAAAAACATTAACCAGTTTTAATTACATTAAACAATTTTAGGAAGTGATTTCCAAACAGTTGTTAGGGCATTCAGTATTACATATATTACAAATTAATTCATTCTAAATTTCTCCTTTTTTGCTTAAGAATTGTAGAATTTTAACTACGAACCGAAAGCTATGATTCAGCTAATTACAGTGACCTTAGACAGTCTCTATGTATGACAGTATTTTCTTGAAGTGCTTACAAACTGTTCTTATCATGTGTGTCACCATTTAATTATATGCATTTTTACATGCTGAAACCATTGTTGCCACATGAATGAATTAAAAGTAATTTCATTGTGCACACAATCTAAAGCTTACCATAGCTCACTGTGTGATGATTTCCGCTGCCGCTATCTGATTATAGCAGATTGAACTGATAAAAAACATTAAACTAGAACATTAGAGGTTTTTGAGTCAGGATTCCTTTTCATAAATCGGCAGATTGAGGAGATTCAGGCCTGGGACCTAGCTGTTACACTCCCGAATGCTGATGCTGATCTTTCTACCTTTATCTGTTCCCCTCCCTTTTATAAACGTTGACCCACTTATTGACACGTCTTAACCCAACCTGTTTTAGTGACTCAACACTTGCCACTACTTGCGTTTGTTTTACTGAGGCACAACAAAGCAGTAAAACAGGATTAAATTCTAACATCAAACTAAAGAAATAACGTGACCCAATCACATGTCAGATTCTGTCATTTCTGCCACATTTCCATCTGAAAAAATAGCATGGTTTCTCCTTCCTGTGGTAATGTTTTATATTAGTTTATCACTCTTAAAAATTGCTGTTTTATCCCGACCGAAATGTGCCCTTACAAACTGAACAGTTTCTTAGTATTTTAGCATGCTTTGACCGCTTCAGTGTTTTTCTTTTCTAAGAAAAATTGTGGTGTTTTCCAATGACCTAGATAGCGAGGGCTAAAACTTACATAACGGACTCCGTCACACTCTGAATAGCTGACGAAGTTTTAGGGTTAAAGGATTTCTTAACCACAATGTTTAATCCGCAGGTTGTGACAGACATGGTGGGAGGACTGGAGAGGAAGTAAATGCTAGGAAAACGCTGCATGTACACAGACACAAACATACTTGGTTACTAGGTTCTAACCTGGAACCAATAAACAACAAAGCCTGAAAAAAACTGCTGACTGAAAATCTCCTCTTTATCCCTTGGGAGAAGAAAAAAATGTTAATCCTTCACAATTTAGAGATTTTATGCCTCATGAAACCAGTTGTTCCTGTGTTTAACCTCTCAGGTCGCTGGTTTTAAATTCAAGTGTATAAATGCCCTTTCTGTTTGTTTCAAACTTTTGCTTTTGCCTGTAATGTAGTCCAATTTTTAACATTAGACTCCATAAAAGCCAATTGCTTTAACAGGCCTGTCTGAGAGCGTGTACAGTGCTTAAGATCAGGTGACTTGGGTAAAGACTGTTTTGACAGAAGCAGCTTTGTGGTTGATTATTAACAGTTTCACAGAGGGAGGTGATAAAAGGTTTGTGTTAAAAAAATTATATGGTACAAAAATTGATACGGAAAAAGCTGAAGTCAATCAATAGTTAAAACACTTTTAGGGGGAAAATATTCATGTTGTGGACATGGATGCACTTTGAGAAAGAGTGCTTATTTTGACCAGTTTGCTGTCATCAGTTTCCAGCTTTGTGGAGCTTTCAGACATTTGCTCTTTGTTCCACAGGGCTTTTAACCAGTCTGGTCCCGTGAACTGGCTGGTAAGTTAATGTTTGCGAACAAACAAACACATGCCAGTTTTTTTTTCTTTCTGGCTTTGCTGTTTACACTATGTGGTCATTGTCCGTCACCATGGTAACACATCCTGCTATTGCTCGAAGGGAAACTGGGTTTAAAGACACAATGCGCAATTGTGGCTCAAGCTGAGGTTTACTCAGGGTCCACTTTCAATCGGTTTCTTCGGAAAATCTGCTTTCCTCATGTATTTGAGACGTGTAGATGATGGAAAAAATCAATTTAGACTCATAACCTGTCTCAGCATTGTTCAGAGGATGATGCAGCTTCAGTCAGATGTGCTTAAAGGTTTTATTTAACTTAATGTTATTATTCCCTTTGCTAGCAAAGAGCAACAGAGTAAAAAGACAAGTTGGAGCAAGTGCAACGACAGAATGGAAATTTGTGGTTTGTGTAAATAAAAGCACTAATGGAATCATTCAAAGATAATTAGATTGCTTTGCACATTTAATTTACTTCACCTCACTGTTTATCCTGTTTATCCAGTGTTACATGTTTTTAAGAGTTCTTTGTTTTACTTTTTTGCAAAACACATTAATCTCTTTATACCATCAATGCTGGGCAAAACTCTCACATGTTCACATGTTTTCCAGCGTTCATGTGACAATATATTTATGTAGGAACTTGATCATTCTCACACATGCATGTATGTGGATATCATCCATTCCACTTTAGCTCTGAATGTATGTTCAGGGTCATTGTTCTGCTGGAAGAAAGACCTCTGCCCCAGTCTAGGGTCATTTGCAGTTTCTAACAGGCTTTCTTCCAGGATTTCTCTGTGTTTAACTCATTCTGTCTCCCCATGAGTTCTGTCCAGCTTCCCTGTCCCTATTAAAAAAAGACAGATCCACACAGCATGATACTGGTACCACAATGTTTCATATTAGAGATAGTGTATTCAGGGTGATGTGTAGTGTTAGTTTGCAACCACACACATTGCATGGCTGTGTTTTTATAGCTTTCCTTCAACAATGGCCTTCTTCTTGACACTTTATCATGCAGCCCAGATTCATGGTGGTAGGTTCTCTCATCTGAGCTGTGGATCTTTGCAGCTGCTCCGGAGTAATCATGGACTTCTTCGATGCTTCTCTGATAAATGCTCTCCTTGTCCAACCTGTCAGTTTTGGTGGTGGGCCAGTCTGGATAGTTTTGTTGTTGTGCCAGACTCTATTTTTTTTTCAGAAAATGGACTGATCAGTGCTCTATGTTCAAAGCTTAGGGACATTGTTTTATGACCTAAACCTGCTTAAAACTGCATCACATGTTTATCCCTGACCCTTCTTCCATGTTATTTGGTCTTCATAATGTGGCCTTCCTTGAGGCCTTCAGAGAACTGCTGTAGTTATAATGACATTAATTTATACACAGGTGGTCTCTATTTACTTCTGAAGGCAACCGGTTGCACAGCATGTTATGTAGGGTATCCAAATAAAAGAGTAAAACAAGTACAAACCAAACATCTGAGTCTTCATCTGTTAAAAATCTGGAAAACCTTGTAACCATTTCTTTCCTATAAACACTACTTGGTGTTGGTCTATGACCTAAAATCCTAACAAACAATCCTAAATGGAAGATTGTAGTAACAACATAATAAAATGTGAAAAGGTTCAA